AGATTTATACGAATTCAGATGTTCCGATGTTGATATCATTTGCTCCTTTTAAATATTTTTCATTCCCAGGCTTAAAAATAAAATCTAAGAAGCGTCGAATAAATTCAAGTTGCCATTGAATTGCACGCCTTAGCAAAATGTTCAGCGAAATAATATGGTTAACAAGTTGTGAGTTCGATTCTTACTGGATGCGCCATATTTCTGGCCTTATGCCAAAATAAGATAAGTAAATATTTTATGATATTATGTAAGGGTTAACGAAGAGTCTGGTTGACAATCAGTGTGTTTGATTCTCACAGGACACCCCGATATTTATAACCTTGTGCCAAGCTAAGCGTAGTAAATATTTCCGATTCCTCGATGTTGTGTGTTGATGAGTGAACTAGTTGAACTTGGTTGACAATTACTATTGAATAATGAGTTCAACTCTTACTGGCTACACATCACAGTGTTGCGCTATAGAATATTTAGCATAAGCGATAAGGAAATTGGACATAGAGGTAGGTGTATGTTTAAGGGTAGGTGCATATTTAGGGGTAGTATTTTCCAACACTGCAAGTTGTTCCAAAACCAAGATATTGACCTATGAACTTGTGCTATGTTCATAAACAGCCACGTCAGTTCTAGAATCTCACATAGATGTCATGTATGGAGTCCAAGTCGTTCAGAAATGTCTAAACTATGAGGCCGTTTTCTCAGATCAATGTTTGAAAAGCACTTCAAGCGAATGAATCTTTTACGTTTTAAAGAAGACAGCCCTTTATCAGATTCTAAAGGCTGGCACTATAGAATATCAAAAAAACTATCAAACAGCAAAAACCTAAACACTCAAAGACTTCCAACAGTAGCAATAATTAAAATGGATAGCAGATGTAATTAGAAGAGAAAATGATAACACAATACCTTAAAAAACAAACTTGGAAGGGATTTCCTATTAATACAAGAAATGGCGATAACAATGAAAATAAGAAGGTTATTTTCCTGAAACGTTCATAAGTTTCATTCGACAGTAACGCTATCTGTTCCGACATTGAATGTTGAATGTTTCCTTATAAAGTAACTCTTAATCTCACCATTAACAGTATGCCAAGCAAAATTCACTTTGGTAAATAACGACTTGCTTTTGATATTTTTATCTATAACCAAGGCGTCTGTAGAAGAACACATAATAATCTCTTAAAAACGTACGTGTATATACGTCATGCGTTGCCCGTTCTGTTAGTAACATATTTCTTTTTTCTCTTTTTTTTGCCCTTTGGACTCGGATCAAAGTGCGGTATCTGCTTTCCTCTTTTAAATATGGAGTACTGGTCCAGGGGATTTAAACCCCGCGGCAGCACCTTCCACGTTGTATTAAAGAGAGGGGTTGATGGAATACCAACAGTAGCGTGAAAGTGGTCGGGGAGACTGAGAAGCTTTTGTCCTTGGCCCATATTTACGCGTCTAGGCGCACCACATTAATCCGACCTTGTGTCACGTCCCACTACCATAGGGAAGCGAGTAGATACTATTTTGGGTCTTTTTTTTTTTTGGCTAAATGTAACTTAAAATGAGGGGCATCATGCCATTATAATTACGATATAAGATAGAGCAATATTCTGAAACTCATATTCTTGCATATTGTGTTACTCGCATAATAAACGCCCAAACTGGCGGGATTATTTACGTGCAGATCGACACTTCTCCCTAAGATTAGAGTATCTGTGCGAAATGCCTAGAATGAGTGTTATTCCGCTGCTCTCTGCTTAGGATCAGTGTAGTATCTGTTCTCTCTTCAAAAAGATTACAGTCTTGAAGCAGAACCTCCCTCATTGCACAAAAGAGGCGCAGTTCGTAGACACCAACGCCGACATGACAGTGTTAAAAGAGACTGGACAATCAATCTTTGTCTTGAGCTCATATATACTCTACATTAAAAACATGCTATGGAACGGTTGGTTGAAGTGTGCAGCGACAGAGAAATTGATGTTTTTTTATGGTTATTGAACGGAAGAGAGAATTCTGTGCCTGTTTCTTCAACATAATTTGCTTTTTTTGCATCTGTGACAAATTCCTAAAATTTCCTTAACAGATCTATTAAATCTACATATTATAAGAAGCCCATGTGGACCATCTTTTGTTTTAATATATATATATATATATATATATATATATATATATATATATATATATATATATATATATATATAATGGAAATGGAAATAAAGTTTTGGATTTACGCAATCAACAAGTACGGACTCTGTTTATGCCTGATGATTGTTTTGCGCATGAAACTTTGCGCAGCAAGTAACAATTAAAAAATATTTTAATGTATATCTTTTCTTTTACATAGAGTACAATCTCTTTTTTTTATCTCCCTACATTCAGTGTGCATTTGCTTGCAGAACAATACCAAGCCACTGTAAAATTAGCATATAATAAAAAAAATATACATAGGACTAACTGAAGGACCCTGCAAACAAAGAAGCTACGCACACAAAATGCCCTTTACAGATAGTAAATACTAGCAGTAGAGCCCGGCGTTGCCCGGGGATGTAACAGTAAGAGATAGATCAAGTATCGACCATCATAAAGAATGAAAAATAAAATTGACAAAGATTATTGTTTAAGGTTGACGGACACGCATGTCTTAATTAGTTTGTTTTTTTTTTTTTTTACGAATTGGTCAAACCCAAACTCAAACATTTTCAATCGTTATGAGTCTACCGATTGAATAGAATTTTATTATAAACAATTGCCTTGTAAATGGAATTTTTAAAGCATTCTGAATGTAAAAATAAAGAAAAAAGTGTGCAAGACAATAAGAAACACTACCTGCCAAAAAAAGTGAAGTTTTGTTGAAATCGGTTGAAAAATGTAGGAAATCCGATCCGATATATAAACGAACACACACACACACACACACACACACACACACACACACACACACACACACACACACACACACACAACCTGGGTTTTATAATAAGTATAACTCGATATGAGTTGTTCCCCTTTCATTCTCGCGACAGCGATGCCTCTTAATTGTGTTTTCAAATTGAATTCGTGCAAAAACAATTGTGTTTTTCCAATTTTTGGCGCTGTCAGAACCACCACAAGGTAATTTTACGTGAAGTTTTGTTGAAATCGGTTGAAAAATGTAGGAAATCCGATCCAATATATAAACGAACAGACACACACAACCTGGGTTTTATAATAAGTATGATGCTAACAGTACAATGCTTTCTAAACATACCTGGGGGATTAAAAGCAAAAATACATCACACCAAAAATATCATGGAAAATAAGGAAAACAGCATCAGCCTACAACAATAAATCCAAAAACTGTAAACTCTGTCTGCAGGAGAAAATAGCTATAATTACCTTCCCAGATCAACACAAACTATTAAATAAGCGATATGAACTCATCTCAAAATACAGTCATGTAAACAAATTTTTACTATCGAAAGAAAATCAAAAACTAAAAACGAACAAGAATAAACAAAAAAATAAAATAAACAAAATAAAATAAACAAAAATAAGTAAAATAAATTAATCCAAATTAATAAATTAGGAAATAAATTAAGTAAATAAATAAAAAGTTAACAACACTATAAATAGTAAAAAAAAACTACATCCTGACCCACCCAATAGCCCCTAGAATAATTCGAAACACAAACAGTTATTACCCACCAAAATAACCGTTAGAAAAATACGATAGACTACCCACAATGCATCACTGACTTGTATATATAAATAATCGAGCAAATACACGCATATGGCCTGACGATTGCGTATAAGCATGAAACAGACTTCAAATCAAGCATTAATCATTATATATCCTCCTTATCCTCATAATCGTAACCTACCTCTTTCTCTTTTTTTTCCATTTACATCACATCGCATTCGTCACAACACAGTTTTCGAGCCTTGTACTTGTTGAACTTTGACCTAAAAATATTGGAGTATTTGCAAGTTTTTTTTCTTGTAATATCATTGGTGATTAATATAGGACTTTCTTTCTGGTTCTTCGCTCTAATACTCGAACCATACCTACAATAGCAATTTTATGAGTTAAAAAACAAAACAAAACAGATTAGTTTCGGTTCTACAAAATATGAAAAAGAAAGAAATAGTGTATGTTGATTGTTTATTATTCGCCACATGACGTGCATAGTTTTTTTATTTGATCTTATTTTAATTATTCGTAGAGTCTGGTTGAAAGGAAATTCATACAGTTTTGTATTCTTTTTGCTTCAATATTCAACAGATGAGAAATGGTCGGTTTTATCTTGGCGCTAATACGACTCAACTTATTTTTAACGTGGCGAGATAAAGCTAATGTAAGAAGACGGCAGAAAACGCAATGAAGTGCAATTTGAATTTCATTCGGCAACTGCAGCGTTGCACTGTTGTAGACGAACTCTTTGTCTGCTATCAGGCAAATAAAACTTGCAACACTTAAAGTCGACGACTGACCTATACGATCCCAGGTTTTTTTTAAAAAATGCAATTTGCTTTCGAAGCTTCGTTTAGAAGATAACAAAAATGGAACGTACAGTTACGATGTAAGTGCGTCTGTGAGACAAACTTGGTAGCCATTTCATTACGGTAAGCTCTTTATATTTTGTTTATTTGACACCTGACGGTACTGGTAGGAAAGGTCATCGTGCTTATCTCTGTGTTAGCGTGAGTGTTCCTCAAAGTTATATTATCTAACGACTCTGTTGATTTGGGGGGGGGGGTGATGAGCTTGTGCGCACATAGGCACGTGTGTACGCGTATAAACATAGTAAATTGATTATTTACATTTGAACTATTATCGTCATCAACGTTTCGACCATTGTGTGCTCCGGCCTTCTTCAGTTCTATGCCGATCCAAGTAACCTTCCGGGAATTTCGTACTGAACTCTTTATTTATTCTGCGGGGTGGGGGGTAGATTGTTCTCGTTCCACTGACCATGTCTCGGCAGATCATAGGAGAATGGGTACTACAGAGCTCTTCTCCACTCTTCTTTGGCTTACGGCCACATCACGATAAAACGCCGTTTCCCGTACGATCACCGAAAGCAACGTCGTGCCTGGCCAGTACCTAGATGGGTGACCGCTTGGGAATATCAGGTGCTGTAAGCTTGAGTGTGCGGGCGGTGTAATGGATAACGACTCGGAATGAGGAATCGAAGTTAAGCAACGTCGAACCTGGTCAGTACCTAGATGGGTGACCGCTTGGGAATACCAGGTGCAGTAAGCTTGAGTGTGCGGGCGGTGTAATGGATAACGACTCGGAATGAGGAATCGAAGTTAAGCAACGTCGAACCTGGTCAGTATCTAGATGGGTGACCGCTTGTAAGCTTGAGTGTACGGATGGTGTAATGGATAATGGCTCAGAATTGTTATTCGGAGTTCCAATTCCAGTGAAGTTCGTTAAATTTATTTACGCGTAAATAAAGCTGGGAAAGGTATAAATCCACATATTCTCCCCCAGCTATGGGTTAATTAGTAAGACTGTTATCACTAAATCATTATTGTTCCCTTTTCCAAATTCTCACAATCTAAAAGTATTTTCTGGATTTAAATAAACTATAAAGAGTTGATAAACAGTAGAAAACGAATCAGTCAATGCGCTCTTCTTTGTGTCTAAGGACATTTTCCGGTCTCTTAAGAATGCTTAGTTTCTGAAATAGAAAAACAAAATGGTGGATGGTTCTTTTCCAATATTGAGTTGGTGAAGCTTGTTCTCCATATTCACCTTGAATAAAAGAAAAGAAAAATAAAGAGAAAAGAAAAAAAGACTCAGGTCAGACATAGGCTTATTTTCTAAAGAAAGCCGTCTTGTTTGCTTAAAATCGGCGTTGCGCACGCGCTGTAAATTAAGTGAAAATCGATACGATCCAAGTCGCTTTCATTGACGTGGGTACAATCTCTTGTCAAAGCAAGCGCCAAGGTTTTTCTCACCCGATATAACAAGTGTCAACTTTCTGTCTCTTTCCTTGTGACCGATCTTTTGATTTTTAAATATTTTTTTTTAATCATGTATTTCTCCTATGCTTTCTTTTTCTCTCTTTGTGTTTCTTTTGACCGAACACCTACCCAACATTCACACATTTCTGTTTTATAATTTTGCTTTGCTTAATCTACACTTTTTATCTCTCGCCATCTCATTTGCCATGTTGTTACAATCCCACGCCCATTGTCCGCCAACTTTCGCTTTGTGTTACGAAAGCATTTGTTATTCAAGAAACACGAAAATAAATAACAAACTGCCTGCTATAAATTAGGGTTCTGCTTCGTGGATTAGTGGTTAGCAAGCTAATCTCATAAGCCGTTATTTTTTCGCGAGTTCGATCATAAATAGGTATCCTACACAATTAGGGTTACCAGATTGGATTTACTTTTGAAAGCCAAGCGGTATATAATTTTGATATTTGCTAATCGCTAGATTATTTTAATCACTGAACCTCAAGCAAGGCAATAAAGCTACTAAGACACAAGAGGTTACAAAAATTATTAAGGAGAGAGAGGACAATAAAAAAACAGGAAAATAGTAGGTAACAATTGACATTACATTTAAATTTTTGAAAATCAAAGTTAACTGGGAAGCCGGAAGATAGTTCCACTAACGAGAAGTGCGATAGAAGAAACTGTCAGCATAGAACTTACGGTTACATCTAACCATTTCAATTGTAAAATGATGAGACCATACCGCAAATATAGTACTGCGCTTAAATTTAGTTTAGGTACAATAGAGAAAGGTTCATCAGAACAATTACCATAAAGTATTTCTAGAAAAGACGCAAGGAATCTACGTAACAACAGGGGGAAAGCGACCGAAGCTGAGATGCCAGGTTAGGAACAACAACATTGCATATTGTTCTCTATTTTATCAAGAATACCTAAATATATAATAGAAGCACCAGATCAGATTTGAAAGTAATATTGAATACAGAAATGAATGGTTGACTTATAAATGTGTATTATATTAAGCGTTTGGCAGTGAGAAAAGGGAATAACGAGGATTAGATTTAACAATGTTTATTGTTGGGATGTCGTACAAAGATGTTGAAGGATAGGTGGAATGTCCGTTTCGGTGGCAGGTATCAGGATGGCGGTGTTAAGAGTCGAAGTTGAGATGTTTTTATGTCGATATTTGCCGAGGTGACAGTGTCGTCGGTGATGAAGGCTTATAGCTGGGTGGTATCGAAGCTGAATAGCCGGCAGCTCGTGGCTGGTGTTTGCCGAAATGTTATCAACGCGAAGCTGGATAGTCGAGGTGGTTAATAAAGCCTGGGAGTAGTAACGGTCGTTGAGAGCTGCGGTCATATTGAGTGATGGCAGCGATGGTCGCGGCGGCAGCAGCAGCGCCCTGCGCGAAAGCCGGCAGTATGCCAGGCCGCAACTGTTGGTGTTGTTCTCGTAGTCCCCAAGGTATATCTCTTACTCTCTCTTCCGCGGGAAAGTTCGCGACTGGCCACTGCCGGAGCTCGCTTTGTAGACCGGACGTGATGCGTGGAGCCTAATGCGCAGAAAACGACTTTTGTTATTTCGTTCTCTACCTTCGTGGCGTTCACATTCGGTAAGCATGCAGAATAAATCAGAAAGAGCACTAATTGCGACGGAGTATAACAAGTTTAATATAGATTCTGACGAGAAAAATTGCCAAGCACGACACAGTCAACCAACCTTCCTAGAAGCGGATCTAGCTATTGATTCAATATAATCTTTCCATTTCATGTCAAGGGAAAACATTAGCCCGAGAAAGCGCAAGGAGTCACTCTCATGGAGGTTAGCATCAGCCATACTGATGAAGGGTAAACAGGCTTTTTGTCGACGATTAAAAGAGAGCAGTTTTGTTTTAGAGGCGTGTTCTTTTATTATCCTCATTCTCATATTCTTTCACACTCAGTAACTTCCTTGCGTCTTAGTGGCTTTATTGCCTTATTTGAGATAAAATCATTAAAAAATTTCTCTATTAGGAAAATTCTTTTGGGATTCTTTTAAAATATATACGGTTATTTGGAGTTAAACAGAAGAAGCAAGTCAATCTCAAATTTAGTAATGTTGAACTTTCAGATGTCATCTAGTTTGGAAGCTCTATTTGTACATTAATATTTGCAGATATTATGTCACATCGGAGGAAACGGGGTAGGAAGATTGTGTTGCGCCAACATTCCAAGTGAATGCAGCTTATGTTGAAAGGTTGCATTTGAAACTGTCTTTTATCTTAGCTGGTGAATGTCATTTATGCACACCAATCTTCAACTTGAGACTAGGTTAATTGTTGGAATAGAGTTGATGTATTGTAGTTTGTGGAAATACTGCATTCTCGACATCTTGTTGACACCATCAGCTCCCCCATCAATAAGAAACATCAATCGCGGTTTGTTATATGCCAAAAATTGTGTTGGCAAGAAAACTGTATTGCGGCAATATTCCAAGTAAGGCGCGTCTGCTTGACTTGAAAATCATCATTCGAAATCTTGGCTTTTACCTGGGTTCGAAAAGCGACGGCTAGCACTGATGAAAAAATACGTTTATGCATCATTCGCCAAACAGGTCATTAATGCACATCTGCGCTTTAGTTCAAAAGTGCATGCATTAATTCAAGTATATATTTAGTCAGATATCGTATACACGCAGCTACGTAATAGCATGTATAGAAAGCGCACTGATTTCTGAATCACCCATGGTAAAATTGCGTCCAGGTGTTTTACAACATTTCACCTTTCTTAACAAATCTTCTGTTGCCAAAATGTGGGATATTTAAAAACAACAGTGCTAAAACCCGTTGGGAAATCGAATGAAATCGGCTGAGCTGTGCGTGTAGACACGGCGGACGCCAGAAATTTTAAAATTTAAAATTTAGGGTTCCTACATCTTTAGCGTTTCCCCTCGCTGCATAATTACAACTGACGTTTACGTTTTTATCTCGCACACCCCTTACATATATATAATTTCATCCGTAGGAACATTATTTTAGTCTGATGGTGTCCTTTTACAGAAGGCAAGTCGTTACATAGAATGTTTTTCCACTTTTCAACATTCATTCCACCTAACATTGTTCTGATATATAGAAATTTATTTATTTTGTTAGTGATGTAGGCAAAAATGTCCACAGATTTTTTTTTATAATCCAGACACCACTTATATTTCCAATATACACGCACTTTCTTTCTTTAACTCTTATACATATATGCTTTCTCAGCTTTATATATATATATATATATATATATATATATATATATATATATATATATAGAGAGAGAGAGAGAGAGAGAGAGAGAGAGAGAGAGAGAGAGAGAGATGTATATATACGTTCTTAACCCTTCGTCGTCATCACTCATCTTCCACCAACTCTTTCATTCATAGGTAATTTCACTTTTCGCTTAAATATATAAACACACACGCACATGCCCTCACATGGAGTGTAAAAAGCATTAAAAAAAAAAGAAGCAAATATTGTAATACATTTGAAAAACTATGGCTGCCAGCGTCTGATGGCAGGTAATACGAGTGCGTCCCGTCCGAGTAGCTCCCATCATATCGTCTTGCCGACGTTTGTTTATGTAAGATCATCCAACGCACCACTCCAAGTTAGAAACTTAAAAGTCTTTCTCTCCAGACAACAAAGAAGGGATGTAACCAAAGCAGATAAGCAAGGCGCCAATGTTCTATGATAATCGTCTGCTGGTCATGTCTACCGTTTTTAGCCAAGTTTCCGGAGTGTTGCGCCTATCCTCAGGTTGTATATATATATATATATATATATATATATATATATATATATATATATATATATATATGCGTGTATCACTTATACGTCTGTCAGTAATGATTGCATTAATTCCAGATAACTCACAGACTTTTCCCCTTCATTTTGAATTCAGGGCGTATAAACAAAGTATCAAAACTAGGTCTGAAATTGCTAAATTCAGTAGAAAACCTTTTTTTTTATTACAGGTAGATTTTTGTGCAGAAAAAAATGTCTAAGGCTAAATATTGGACGGTGGATAAATTTTGTGGGAAGCAATAAGAAAAGTCAACATCTACGATTGTCGGATTCAAATGAAATCGGCAATAAAAACTTGCTGGTCACGTAGAACCTGAATATTCGACCACCGCTAGAAACGCGCT